GACACATATTATCGAAAATAATTAATATTTTCATTGTTTCAAAATAAGAAAAAGTATTTAATTATGTGACAATACCCCCCTCTATATTCATACAAATAGCCATATCGTCGTCATGCACGTCAGTGTTTTTCAACGGCGGATATAGGCATTATTATTTCCGCAGAGAGGGTGGCAGTAATCGGATATTGAATGGTGTAATTTCCGTTGTCATGGTAACATAATGAACATTTTCGAACGTTTTCTCTGAATATACGTTGGTACGTGGGCGCTAACCTTTAAAATACCGAGTACGGTGACCTCCCAGTCGATGGCTTCATATTGGAAGATCACCTTAAGATGAGAGCACCGTGACGTCATGAGACCGATTTGAGGACTTGTGGAAATTAAATTTATAGGTAGTTTGGCGACACCCGGGGTTTGAATATTAGATGCAATCCGCAATACAATCTTTGCGAACAATAAACATGCTCGGGGCGTTAGGATTTCGTACGATTCATCTACATTTTTAGTGAAAATAAGGCTGCATCGACACCTCGACTTTGACTGAAATATAATCTAGTGTCACGAGTTTAGATTATTTCCAGCCAACGAACGTTATTGCGATGAAGGGATTTTGAAAAAAATTATAACTGACGGCGATGAAATAAAAAAAAAAACGTCTACCGCTTTTTTAGCTGTTGTGCACACATTTGAATACTTGCACTCTTTATTTGGGTCACGTTGCAACGAAAAAAAAAAAGCAGTATATACATCGACATGACGGCGAGAATATGACAAAAATATGCACCCCGAGGCTGTAGCTTATTCTTGCAGAGATTATCTCAGCAAATATGTTTGATAATTTTGTAGAGTTCATAAATGGTTCAAATGGTTACTTTTGCTTGTTATTTTTGACCAAATGGGCATAATCTAACTAGCTACAGATTTCGATCAAAATGTCTGAAAACAATTGTACAGAGGATTTTGACTTTGGAGCTCAATGAGTTGAATCATTTTTATACCTCAGACCCAAACAAGAAAGAATGAATTTCTGTGTTGTTGTTTTTTCTTTCAGGCATTACCCTCCGAAACACCAGCCCTTTCGAAAACTTAAGCACTAATATTCATGTCTAGGGGATGAACCATCGCTCTCAATTACCACCAAGTATATTCTAACAGTACGAGCCTGAGTAACATGAGAAAAAACATATTTGTGTTTAATTGTATTTAATATTTGCCATGCTATAAAAATTGTTTTTTTCTAACGAAGTAATACATGAACTTCAGTTTTGTAAGCGCATTTATCCTACAAAAATGTTACATTTCGTTTTTGGAGCGGAAATGTCAACTTTCACGAAATAAGCCCGTATACAAAATGTAATTGTTTGTAAATGTGTTCATCAATATGTAGCCAATAAGAAACCATGCACGCTTAGCCAAACAATAATACATAAATTAATACAATATAAATTACAGAAAACACAGTAACTTGCAAAACGCTGCATCCAAATTTTGGCGAAAATTATTGCGGCGCTCAAGGGGTCACGATGCAATATGTTCGAGAACTTTTTAAAAATGTTGCTTCATAATTAACGACATTGATGCTGCAGGTCAGCGTTCTGTCAACAGCTTCCTGTAACGACACAACGAATTAACGGTGATAAATACGTTCGATTATGAGTTACCATGCAACTACTAAATACGTTGTTATAGTAACATGTGTCTGACTGAATATTGGTTAGAGAATTAGAATCTTCGTGCGCATGTGCACTGATTGTTTCGGGACGTACAATAACTATAGCTGAACAAAATATATTAGTATATTTCATTTATCATTGAACATTACGGAATACGAACAATTGTATCCAAATCGTGCACCAACACGCAGTATCAACGAACAACATTGAACATTATGTATTTTCTTCCATATGTCATACTTAAATATTCAAGTATCTATGGTTCACGTTGTGCCATGTCTGGAATCGTGGTTTTTAAACTACTTTCTGCACTTTTGAACGATTGATTCATTTTTTCATTTTGCAGTTGAGGGCGAACTACTCTAGGTCGTGAGACTTGTGACCCCCTGTCTCCGTCAAAGTAGGTGTAAAATCACTGGAATCAGTCGGTATTACTCCGCGTAATCGGATATCGGACGGGCAATAGAAGACGGAATACCCGAGGCGCATATTTGAGCCTCTAATCTGAGGTATATACAGACGTTCAAGTTAATATTTTCACGTCCGCCGGCTGCGTTTACATCCGACATGGGTGTCTCTGTGACAGTTTGTTCAAATAGACACAGAAGAAATCACAGTTCAAACAGTAATACGTGTGATAAAACATGATACTTTTTTTTGTCTACAGTTTTATCTGATGTAATCCAACCCGGGAATCCAACTCCCTGAATCCAACTTGTTAGATGCTCTTTTTGAGCGCGTTTATTGATGTGCTGTTATTTTTTTTATATAAAGTAATCCATTCAAAGTTGGTTAATTTCTGATATATTAACATACATTCGGCCTTCTTGGTGTTAATGTTGAATTTCTTCTTTGCAGTTTTTACTGTCACTTGAGTCAAGATCTTTTATTTTTCGTTGAAAATAGTCTTCACTTTTAGTGTAAGAACAGCGTTGATCCGCATAACGAAGATAGTGAGGTCATAACACGGGTGCTTGTAACATAAAGATAAACACGACTATCAAAACATCGGGATATTGTCGGCCTTCCTGTAAGTGTTTAAGAATGTATCATTTCTCATACACAAGGGGCCGACATTATCTCCCACATGTTTGATAAAAGTCATATGTATCATTATGTTACAAGCGTAACAATGTTACAAGAAAATACTGCATGCAAGTCTACTACCAATGACGCAATATCCTGTAATTTCCCTCAGAATTTGTTTCAGGTGCATGCTTTAATTATGACATCACATAGCATTGATGATGTTGGAAAGAAATTACTAACAAACAAACAAAATATATTTTTTGCTACATAATTCCAGCAAAATTTTGCTTTGATTATTGGATATTTCACCAGTAGGAAATTGAAGCAACATAAAGGACCGTGTGACAGGATAATCCTATGCCCATTTTTTTTCGGCTGGTGCAACAATACTTAGGGACGGGTAAATAAGGCTAAGGGGTGATCTTAAAATAATAACGCTGTCTATTATAAAAGAACATTTTTTTTTTCTAAATGGCCCAACCCCTTTCTTTCTATTGATCGTTTTTGTCTGTGTTTGCAACGCACCGTTTATCGCGATGAGTCCCTTCCCGAGTTCCTTCCTCTCATCACTGACTCTGGAACAATACAAGTGTAGTATAAGGATATGTACATGATTCATTGGAATTCATCAACGCGTGCTTTCATTGAGTGATTAGTTACATTTGCAATGAACGCATGGTGCCTTTAAAGCCCGGCCCGGCCTCGCCCGCTCACTATTGATGCGATCATGTGCATTCGAAGCTTAAACACACCGGAACACAAACTGGGCCTCGATTCCTTTGAAGCACGTGTACGACGTTCGCATTTATTAGACTAACGCGCAAGTGAACACGAAGGTGTTGTTGCTGAATGGTACCACCGCGGGTCAACTTGCATCGTAAAAAAGAGCCACTTGTTAGCGGGACGTTAAATGCTAATCTATGCAGTTCCGCCCTCTTACCATGGAGGTAAATAGCTTATCCTAAGTGTGTCGTCGTGAAACAATGAACACCCACAATGTAATATGACTTTCATATCTGGCAGAGTGATATAAGTTATTTTGTAAATTCAATTAGAAAGAAAGATCTATGATATGTTAATTTATATGTCAATCCAATGTTTAAATTCATTTATAGCTACCTAGGGGGTGCTAACTGCGATTGAACGCTTGCTGCTTTCCATTCGGAAATTTATCTATTTGTTTGTGAGGATGACGCAAATAGTCGATGGACAAAGGGTCACTTCCTGGGCCATCTGCGCTTCTGTCAGATCCGCCGAACTTTCTATTCAAACGCAGCTGAGCATATCTTCAACTACCGATATAAATAAATACATGTAACACAGCGAGGAATTTGAGTTGACCCCGACAGGTCACCCTAAAATTTAGGGCGATGCCGTAAAAATGCTAACCTGCTTTTGACAGATTTATACTTTTCTCCGCGGAACACCTGGGACGATTGCGACAATTATTCATAAACCCGGACGTTCCTGTTACTCTCTGTGCGTCCCATAAAGGTAGTTGTAATAAATTGCGGCCAGACTGTGTATGTTTGATCGCGTGTTATGTGGTCTGCACCGTGGAGGTACTGATGTTCGCGTTGAGAACCTATGTATTTAAGCGCATTTCGTGAAGCAAGGAACTTAGAATCGGGCTGGACATCCAACTCACGACTCTTCCTCTCGTTTGCGATAACGCGCCCTCAGGGACAGAAATTTGGCATGATACTACGCCCACGAACTGTTAAAATTACGATTTCTGCTCCACGCTTCTTTCTGACCAACCTCCGCAAGAAATTAACCCACCACGCCCTTTGTCACTAATTAAAACTAAAGATATGTTTTCCCCTCTCAAATTGTTGGGTGCTCCCGTATACTAAGTGGCCCCTCCCACTTATCCCGTCACATATCAAATATCGCCATCAATATCATACATCTCAGATATACATAGTACGAATATTTCATTCTCGCATGACACAATTCACGCGTAACTTTCAACATTGTCATTTTAACAAATCATTTGACATTTTGAATATTCTTATTTTTTTAAACATTTTTAAAAATCTTTATTAATCCCCGTCATCTTGAAATGGCATTAGGAACATTCAATATTTATAGTATATAATCGATGTAGACAGTCGATTATTATGCACCGTCGGTCATGACTTCATAAATTTTAAATATTTCAAAAAAAAAAACGTGGGCCGTCAACATGTCTTTGATCCACGTACTGCCGGGACACCTTGGCGACTAGAAAGGGGATACCTTTTATTATTTGATGCAAACTTAAGGGGCCCTCATGTAGTTTCACGGAGTCGTCTTGCGATAAAACTTCAGTGAGCGAAGGGCCGTGTTGGAATGTCTGTAAATTTCACTGTTACCGTGTTCTGTGACGGAGAAAACGGTTAAAAGCTTTAGCAGAATGTGAACCTGGGATCCGCTGTCCTATGAAGGTAGGTTAAATTCAAGTTTGTGTGTATTTTTTTCCCTTCCGTCGTCGCCATGTGCAGTACAGTACAGACTACGCACTGTTCTCGATGTGAACGGGTTGCTTCGACTTTAGCCAAGTGTTTAAACGGGACGTCGAAGTTGAAACACTGCGTTGTCGGATAGTTTACGATTACCCCACAGTCTGATTCAGGCTTACTCGTAGAACTGATTTCCTACTTATCGTAAACTAGTTTTTCAGTGATAAATGCGTGCCGGAAAGTCAACAGACTTCCCCGTTAAAGCGACGAACGAATTGCCCTTTCCCCAATCACACTCGGCAACTCGGCTCACAGTTCGAGTTGACCTGGCATTTTTGGTTGGGGTGTCACTTGACTGCGATATTACGCGTTGCAACTTAGTCAGTCCCGTCGACATCTACAAATGACAAATCGTATAAAAAAATACAGTTGTATCCAAAAATCTATTTTTTTTCTACTGCGGCTTGCAACACTGTCGATATCCGTACGCAAAAATGTTGAACAATAGCATAGTTTTGTCCAATTTTGAGTAGTTACCCACACATGAAAAGATTAAATATTTTAACATTGAAGCCTCCAAAGCGATCACCCCCATGTCACATTTACCTTGTTGATTGGTGCTTTAGTTTTAAAAATATCGACATTATCGGAGTAATCTGTGCATTTGAGTACACTGCGCTTTGATCAGAAGTTCTATAACAAGTAGATTTGCTGAATTGTGACAGGTATTACTTTATAGTTAAACAAATACATAAGAATGTCATGGCCACCTTTCTCATTAACAATACTGCTAATACAGTAACCTTGGTACTTTGCAGCTAAGTGCTAAGGGAGTACATTTATCTCAATTTAGTTTTATACTAGAGTTGAATAAAGTTGTCACTAAATCATCCAGTGTTAAATCTGGGGGAAACGATTTAGTGAGAAAACAGTGGTGTTGTTGACAAACACGTAAACAAATCCGCTATGTGTCCATCACCCCATTTAAACTTCCAGAGCACGTTCTTGCAACCTGAAATTATCATGTCCATTATCAATTGATCAGTCTGTCGTGTCTGTTCGTTGAGCTAAACGAACATATGCCATGAGAAATTTTTATTCAACAAACGTTTTCATCCCTGTATTTTTTCAGTTTTTATGACTGTTACACACAAAAAACGACGGCACTACACTGTATGCGTTGACGTAGTCGGCCTCCCAGCTTATACAATAAATGATATTATTTGCCTTTGTCTGTCCCCGTAGTCTAGTTTTCTCTGTGAATTCAGCGACTCTATACATGATTTTTGCTCGTTTTCTTTCCTGTTTCTAACATTTCTGGAGATAATATCAACACTTTTCTGCTGGGCAAAGAAACAGTCATACACGTTATTCCTATTTTTTTTTTTTTTTTGCACCATTGATATTTTGAAGCAAGTAAAGCATATCGTTACGAAGTGTCAATGGCTAGCTAGGTGCATTGAGATTGTAGTTTACATGATGGACACGTCTCTGCTTTATTTCGATTGGTTTAGATGAACAATGAAACGGCAAGACTGTCTCTGTGTAACTTGAGGCAACGAGAATATTATGATTTAACTTGACGTGATGTGTTGACCATTCTGCATTTATAATTATTTAAGTATATTCTACATTGTATTCCTATTGAGACGTACATGGCACAATGCCTCGCGCAATTATACTATCATGTGCATGTTAGATTTGCTGGAAATTGCAGCCTAGCTGGTTAGGTTTGTTCCTGTCATGGTGTTTAATTTGTTTACTCCTTGTACATACTTGTGTCTTTTGTTTGTTCTTGTGCTTGTATTTACCTTTGTAAATATTTTCTTTGTAAATCTGTATTTTTTAACTGTAAATTTAAAATCTACACTTAGTTAAAAACAATGCTTTGAATGATTTTTTTTTTTTTTTAAATTATGGCCACGTATATGATATCTTGCGGGTGACTTGATAATAGTCATTTAATTTATCTTTAAGCCTTTGGCTAGAAAACATTCAAATTGAGATCAGTTAAATAAATTTGATATTTTATAAGAACATAAATTTGGCATCCCTTTTATCAAAAAGTCTTGAATATTTTTATGCAGTATACTTTTAATAATTTTTGACTTTGAAATTAACAGTACATGTTTAAGAATGCAAATTTTTGGTTCAGCGGGCAGCAGTTAATGTATGGTGCATGTTTGATACAAGTTGCATTAACATATGTGGATGGGCGACATTGGGCGTACAATGCATTCACTCTATAAATGTTTATTAGCCTTTGATAGACGTACTCTGAAATGAGGACTCGCGTTATGGATTCTGTCTGTGTGTCTGACCGTCTGTCTGACATAATTTTGTGGACATGTCTGGAATGATTTTGTTCAAGTTGGTACAAAGACAAATAATGAGTCTTCTTCATGTTGATTTAATTTTTGTTTTGTTGACCTTTGACTATCAGGTAGCCTTAAATTTCACAACTTAAAGAAGCATTTTTATTTTGTTATATTTATTTACAAAATGACATAATTTTTCTCTGTCTACAGGTTTTGATAAATATTTTTTAAGAAATTAAAATTTACATATTTAATGAATTTAAAGATGTGAAAAGTTGACTGTTGTTCATGTATGTCTCATTTACATAGCAATAAGCTTATTTAACATTTGGAAATACCTTTCCATTACTGTTTCAATAACAACTGTATTGTGTATTGGGCGTATTGTGTAAAATTTTATTTCTATTCTATATCATGGTTTTGGGGTTTACTGATCATGTGTGAATGTGTCTAACCTGATCATGCATCACAGTGAGGGTTGGCGTGGTGGTAGAGGTGGACTGACATGTGAATGTCTTGCAGAATTTACATTATCTACAGAATGGTTATTTATGTTTAACAAACTGTTTTACAGAAAAGATGGTGGATTTTAATTCATTACTAACTTGTGTATGAGGCAGGATTAACCCATATGTTCATAACGGAACAGGTGCGGAATTAATGAAATTGTTGTCCTCACATCAATGCAGTTCATCCAGTTCTTCCCCTGGGCTAGTTAAAGTCATTCTTTTGCAGTCACAATCAATCATTTGCCAAGTATATGAAGAAAGAACATGTCGGATATGTCACGCTAGCTCACCTAGCTGCACACCCAGACCCTCCAGCAGTACATTATTTTGCTTTTTCTCCTTGGCAATAAGTTCAATTTCATTGCTGAATTTAGGATTGGTTTCAAGTAAAATTAAATAAAAGTGTGAAATGTCTTGCTATCATTTAGGGAAAAGAGGAAGGGGTAGTCCATTGAGGGGGAGGAGGAGGGGGGTTAGTTTAGTTCCCAAGAAGCTTAGAGGCAACTGTAAATGCTTAAAACATTTGTGCAGCAGTCATCAGGGTGATCAATAACCAATCATTCATTAATACATGTATCTTAATTTGATATCAACATTTTTAGTATTTTTGACTTCTAAGTTCACACATCCTACCGGTAGTTCTCTCTGTTTGAGTGGATGCATTGAAACTGAAGTTACCTCCCTTTTCCCTAACACCAAAATTGTCTCTAGTTATGGCTAGTTAGATATGTTCTAACCCACTGTAAAAAGCATTAATTTCCACTGAGTATTTAAAGAGATGCCTTTGGAACAATGAGAAAATAGTAAAAATTAAAGCCCAGTGAATAATTAATGTGTTCACTGTACATCTTTCCATAGGCTACCATTGCGTGGGTTAAGGCATTCGGATGTTTACGACTGTCACTTAATATAAAAGATGATTTTATCTGCCAATTAGACTAATTAACTTGACTTTACATTGTGGTACGTAAGAATGACATGCACTCATACTTGCGTATTGACTAAAGGTATTTCTAGAGAATAGGGCAAGTGGGAAATTATTGTCTTCGTGCGTAACCCCCTACATGGCATACATCCTGGTGTTGCTGGGGCGTGGACTCACTTTAAAAACATTTTTTTCAAAGCCAAATTCATCTCAAATTGAATGTTTTGTATAAAAAGCGACCAAGTTAGCACACTGATTATGTTTTTATATGTTTCCACTCTCCCAGAAATGTGTTTTTAGGGAGCATGAGCTGCGTTTCTGGTTATTTTTTTCAGAAATAGTTTATCATGGTATAACATGTATGATAATTGCTTGCAAATAGCTGTAAAACATGTACATTGTAGGTGCTGTTGCAAATGAGTAATATTAACATTCCAGCATTATAACCATCACAAGGGGGTCATTTTGGTTGCCTATAACAACATAAATTTAAGAAAAAATATTAAAAAGCAGGTCGTGCCCTGGTCAGTTGTAGACCAGCTGAACGGAAACTAGAAATGTACAACTTTCTTGTGATCCCATCCACCTGCTTCACTTTATTATCTAACCAGTGAACAACTGCTATTTCAAATAACATTTATGTTTGTCAAATAATATTGATTTTCTGCTTGAAGTTGTGTAAATTATTTTACATACCCTGTGTCTACAACTTTTTTGCAAATATTTTTTTTTGTGGCAGGTTTATTATGGGTATAGGATGTTTTCTATACATACGCACACACACATATTTATGTTGATAAAAAACTATGTATACATTTTGGTGAATGAACCCATATTTTGAAGGACAAAGTTTGAGTCCATTTTCAGTTTTTATTCAAAAAAAAATTGACTATTTTTGTCCTAATCTTATGAAGGAAGGTGCAAACTATAAACAGCACTGTTTTGTTGATTTGTGATGAAAAGATGGTGAAATTGTTAAAAAATGTTTTGAAAATTCACCTATCTCAGATAAGGAACAATATTATCTGCAGGTCAAATCATTGTGGTGATATGTTTTATGGGCAGATCAAATCGTGCTTGGCTCGTCATGTTCTATTGATACACTCGCATAGAAGTGGAAATTGTGAGGCCTGGATGTTGTATCATTGACAACCTCTCTTATTGGATGCTGCTCTACTCTAACAATAGAGAAGCCATGCTTTCATCTTTCGGGAAAAATGTTCTCACTTTGTA